CTCAATACTGTCTCGATATTTAATTCTACAGACTCTAAATACTGTCTCCATACTGGGAAACTCTCCAGAATCTAAATACTATCTCGATATTTAATTCTACATACTCTAAATACTGTCTCGATATTTAATTCTACAGACCCTAAATACTCTCTCCATACTGGGAAACTCTCCTGAATCTAAATACTGTCTCGATATTTAACTCTTCAGACTCTTAATAATGTCTCCATACTAGGAAATTCACCAGAATCTAAATACTGTCTCGATATTTAATTCTACAGGCTCTAAATACCGTCTTCATACAGGGAAACTGCCCTGAATCTAAATACTGTCTCAATATTTAAATCTACAGACTCTAAATACTGTCTCCATACTGGGAAACGATCCTGAATCTAAATACTGTCTCGATATTTAATTCTACAGGCTCTAAATACTATCTCCATACTGGAAAACACTCCTGAATCTAAATACTGTCTCAATATTTAATTCTACAGACCCTAAATACTGTCTCCATACCGGGAATCTCTCCTGAATCTAAATACTGACGCAATATTTAATTCTACAGGCTCTAAATACTGTCTACAATTTGGGAAAATCTCCCAAATATAAATACTGTCTCGATATTTAATTCTACAGGCTCTAAATACTGTCTCCATACTGGAAATTTCTACTGAATCTAAATACTAGCTGTCTCAATACTTAATTCTACAGACTCTAAATACTGTTTCATTAAGAGAAAACTCTCCTGAATCTAAATACTGTCTCGATATTTAACTCTACAGACTCTTAATAATGTCTCCATACTAGGAAATTCACCAGAATCTAAATACTGTCTCGATATTTAATTCTACTGGCTCTAAATACTGTCTTCATACAGGGAAACTGCCCTGAATCTAAATACTGTCTCAATATTTAATTCTACAGACCCTAAATAACGTCTCCATACTGGGAAACTCTCCAAAATACAAATACTGTCTCGATATTTATTTCTACAGGCTCTAAATACTCTGTGTATATACTAGGAGACGCTCCTGAATTTAAATACTCTCTCGATATTTAACTCTACAAACTCTAAATACTGTCTCCATAATGAGAAACTCTCCTGAATCTAAATACTGTCTTGATATTTAATTCTACACGCTCTAAATACTGTCATCATAATGGGAAACTGTCCTGAATCTAAATGCTGTCTTGATATTTAATTCTACAGACTCTTAATACTATCTTCATACTGGCAAACGCTCCTGAATTAAAAAACTGTCTCAATATTTAATTCTACAGGCTCTAAATACTGTCTCCATACTGGGAATCTCTCCAGAATCTAAATACTGTCTCATTATTTAATTCTTCACATTCTAAACACTGTCATCATGAAGGGAAACTGCCCTGAATCTAAATACTGCCTCGATATTTAACTCTATAGGCTCTAAATTCTGTCTCCATACTGGAAATCTTTACTGAATCTAAATACTGTCTCAATACTTAATTCTACAGACTCTTAAATACTGTTTCATTACTAGAAAACTCTCCTGAATCTAAATACTGTCTCGATATTTAATTCTATAGACTCTAAATACTGTCTCCATACTTTTAAACTCTCCTGAATCTAAATACTGTCTCGATATTTAATTCTACAGACTCTAAATACTGTCTCCATACTGGAGAACTCTCGTGAATCTAAATACTGTCTCGATATATAATTCTACAGGCTCTAAATACTGTCTCCATACTAGGAAACTCTCCTGAATCTAAATACTGTCTCGATATTTAATTCTACAGACTCTAAATACTGTCTCCATACTGGTAAACTCTTCTGAATCTAAATACTGTCTCGATATTTAACTCTACAGACTCTAAATACTGTCTCCATACTAGGAAACTCACCAGAATCTAAATACTGTCTTGATATTTAATTCTACACATTCTCAAAAATGTCATCATGAAGGGAAATTGTCCTGAATCTAAATACTGTCTCGATATTTAATTCTACAGGTTCTAAATACTTGTTTCAATACTAGGAAACTCTCCTGAATCTAAATACTGTCTCGATATTGAATTCTAAAGACTCTAAATACTTTCTCCATACTGGAAAACTCTCCTGAATCTAAATACTGTCTCGATATTTAATTCTACAGACTCTAAATACTGTCTCCATACTGGGAAACGATCCTGAATCTAAATACTGTCTCGATATTTAATTCCACAGGCTCTAAATACTGTCTCCATACTGGAAAACACTCCTGAATCTAAATACTGTCTCAATATTTAATTCTACAGACCCAAAATACTGTCTCCATACTGGGAAACTCTCCAGAATACAAATACTGACTCGATATTTATTTCTACAGGCTCTAAATACTCTGTTTATATACTAGGAAACGCTCCTGAATCTAAATACTGTCTCGATATTTAACTCTACAAACTCTAAATACTGTCTCCATAATGAGAAACTCTCCTGAATCTAAATACTGTCTTGATATTTAATTCTACACGCTCTAAATACTGTCATCATAAAGGGAAACTGCCCTGAATCTAAATGCTGTCTCAATATTTATTTTTAGAGCCTCCTAATACTGTCTCCATACTGGGAAACGCTCCTGAATCTAAACACTGTCTCAATATTTAATTCTACAGGCTCTAAATACTGTCTCCATACTGGGAATCTCTCCAGAATCTAAATACTGTCTCGTTATTTAATTCTACACACTCTAAATACTGTCTCCATACTGGGAAACGCTCCTGAATCTAAATACTGTCTCGATATATAATTCTAGAGGCTCTAAATACTGTCTCCATACTGGGAATCTCTCCAGAATCTAAATACTGTCTCAATATTTAATTCTACACATTCTAAACACTGTCATCATGAAGGAAAACTGCCCTGAATCTAAATACTGTCTCGATATATAATTCTACAGGCTCTAAATACTGTCTCCATACTGGAAATCTCTACTGAATCTAAATACTGTCTCAATACTTAATTCTACAGACTCTAAATACTGTTTCATTACTAGAAAACTCTCCTAAATCTAAATACTGTCTCGATATTTATTTCCATACACTCTAAATACTGTCTCCATACTGGCAAACTCTCCTGAATCTAAATACTGTCTCGATATTTAATTCTACAGACTCTAAATACTGTCTCCATACTGGAAAATTCTCCTGAATCTAAATACTGTCTCGATATTTAATTCCACAGGCTCTAAATACTGTCCCCATACTAGGAAACTCTCCTGAATCTAAATACTGACTCAATATTTAATTCTACAGACTCTAAATACTGTCTCCATACTGGGAAACTCTTCTGAATCTAAATACTGTCTCGATATTTAACTCCACAGACTTTAAATACTGTCTCCATACTAGGAAACTCAAACACCTTCCATTTTAACTTGATCAATTCCATTTGATCAAAAGCTCTGTATGGTTGTTAAGTACAAAAAAGACAACTGAAATCTATGCATACTTTAAACACTTTATTTTCCAATTCTTACCAAATGCTTGTTAAAGAAACCATTATATATCTGGCATGTCTTAACAACTGTTTGTTAAGAACACGAAAAATAAGCTGAAGGAATTCTTAAGTAATTGCTTGTTAAATAAAATTAAGTAAAACTGTTACACTTTTATACAGAGTTTTAACAACTGTTTGTTAAGACTACCCAAAGAATTCCACAAGATATATTCTTAACAACTGGTTGTTAGAAATGCAATGGAAGACAAACAGAATAAAGTCTTAACAATTGCTTGTTAAGAATACCAAAAGAATTTCACAAGGTATATTCTTAACAACTGGTTGTTAGGAATGGAAAGGAAGTCAAACGGAATAAAGTCTTAACAACTGCTTGTTAAGAATACCAAAAGAATTTCACAAGGTATATTCTTAACAACTGGTTGTTAGGAATGGATAAGAAGTCAAACAGAATAAAGTCTTAACAACTGCTTGTTAAAGATACCAAAAGAATTTCACAAGATATATTCTTAACAACTGGTTGTTAGAAATGCAATGGAAGACAAACAGAATAAAGTCTTAACAACTGCTTGTTAAGAATACCAAAAGAATTTCACAAGATATATTCTTAACAACTGGTTGTTAGAAATGGAAAGGAAGTCAAACGGAATAAAGTCTTAACAACTGCTTGTTAAGAATACCAAAAGAATTTCACAAGATATATTCTTAACAACTGGTTGTTAGAAATGGAAAGGAAGTCAAACGGAATAAAATCTTAACAACTGCTTGTTAAGGGTGCTAGAAGTAGGTCCATGGAATCCTTTTAAAATTTGCTAGAAAACCGGGATAAAAATTGACAATTGACAATCAATTAAAATTATTAAGCAAATATAGCACATACAAGTTTAATGAAATATTCTTTTCTTAACAACTAGTTGTTAGAGGACCAAGGCTAGACAACTCAGGAAACATTGGGAAAAATGTCTTAATTTAACTTTTTAATAAAAAGATTAGGAGTATGTTCAAGATATTTTCTTAAAAACTGCTTGTTAAGAAAGCTATGTTTCAATTAATGCAATTCTTTTAAAACCCTAATAAATGGTTGTTAAGAATATCGTAGATTCCTGAATAAGTCTAGACCCTAACAACTGCTTGTTAAGAAAATCTTAAATAGCTCCAAGAAAGTCTTAACCTTAACAATTGCTAATTAAGAATATCTTAGATAGCTTCCTGAAAATGTCTTAGCAACTAGTTGTTAGAATAACAAGGGAAGTTAATTCAGAAAACTTTAAAGGAAAACAACTTTTTAACAACAGTTTGATAAGAAATTCATTATTAAATTTATATGTTTATAACATGTGATAACAGTTACTTGCTAAGAAAATAAGTCTGAAAAAAGATTTATTTGCAAGTCTTAAACGCCCATTGCTTAAATTATACCGGTAATATAAAAAGTAAATATCTTTAACAAGTGGTTGTTAGAGAGCTAAGAGAAGGCAATTCAGATAAATTTAAAGAAATTTTGGCAATTTTCTGTGTGTCTTTTTAGTTTAGTATTAATAAATTCATATTAATATTAGACATAAATTGTTCATCGAGTTTTCCTAAAAAAGTCTTGCAGTAGGTTTACTTGTTCTTCTCTATTACTCCCAAGTATTCAACAACTGCCACAGTGTAATATTCTATTCCTCTTCTGTAATACCCTGTAAAAAATATACATCATTTGAGTGGTAAAATTCATATTCTTTGATATTTTTTCTATCTAATATATTGTCAAATAAACCATTAATTGAATTTTTACATTCACCAAACAAATTTATTACATTTGTGCATAATACTGGACAGATTTAGGCAGAGAAGTGTGATGGGGTAAACATGAAATTTGACCTCAGATACTTAAAAAAAAGGTAAGAACTATGAATAATAAACTGCATTTTGGTATCTTTATTTTTTTCTAAAAATGTGGCAAAATGAGCCAGTACTTCCTAATGGAAACATATCCAATAAAAGAGGTTAGGACAAGTCCCAGAGATGAGTAAACCAAGACCCTGCAGGATATCCCCCCCCCCCCCCCAAATATTTCTCATAGACGTTAAGCAGCCATAATTGCCATCAGATTTGTTCCCTTTTCCAGACTTTGTGTATTGCAAAAAGTCTTTATCTAAGCAATTAATACCATTGTCATTTGCTGGACAATATTAAAAAAAATTCACATTCTACAATTTCAAATTAGTTTTCATTACTTTATACCGGATTTATTTTGAAAGAGGCTAGACAAAAGGATAATTTTATCCAAGACTGAGCAATTAAATTCCTTTGCTTAATTCCCAAGAGATCTAGATAACATCTGCCTGATCAGAGATGCTCTACCGGTTAATTCCTCACAGGAAACTCATTAATTTATCTCTAATTCAACATCTAATTTGTTATTAAAATTCTTCTTGACTACTGCTTGATAATTACACCAATGTGGAATTTCTCTCTCGTTTTTGACACAAACAAAACATTATTATATTTGTTAAAAATTGTTGTAAAGTTAGCAATGAGAAAAAACTGTGTATTTTCTTGATGAAACATTTTTTAAATATCTGCAATATTCTTACATCTTTTTGGACTGTATAATTTAAAATGTAAAGACATACATATATATATATATTTAAATTTTGCCTTAAATGAAGGTCAAAGTGCCCTTTAAATAGGATGCGACAAACCTTCTATTTAAGATGCATCAAATGGTCGAGTACATGTATTACGGTTCTTGGTCTAATAGTTATCTAGTAATGAGACGGACAGGATTTTCCCCTTTCTTGACAATAACATCTTAATTAAAGGTCACAATGACCTATTTTTAGAGTGAAACACACCTTTTACACAAGATGTACCAGCTGACAAAGTTGGTTAATTTTATGCTCATAGTATAAAAATTATGAGCCGGACACGAAAAAGTAAACAGACAGACATATGGACAAACATGAACGCCATAACAAAATATGCCCTGCCTTAAGATGAGCGTATAAAATTATAATTCTCAGGCAGATTATTATTTCAAATATCCTCATTCAATTGACAAAATGAAAGCTTTATTACAGCAGAAGAAAAGAATCATGACATCTTAGTGAACCAGTTGCTGCGTAAAAAATCGTCCATTTGACAATTTTGAAGAAGTCAATAGAAATAGCAGTTTAATATTGTTTCTTTACCACTTTAGGGCGTAAAGTCACTTTGTATAATAGTTCCTGTAACGAATTCCATTTATAGGGTATGAAATACACTGTAGATTAATTACATGATGCGTTGAAATGCTTTACCTCACAAAGACCAATCATTTTTCATATGAACGTAATTTGTTAATATGTTTTAAAAATCAAAGCATAGATTTATATGGCACCACTTCCTATTATTATATTATGACAATGAGACTTGATTTGGCAAATTTTTCTTTAAAAACTTGTATTGCTTAATATGAGGAAATATCTGTCCAGTCCTATCTTTTCTCTGTGTCATGATAACAGATCTAAGAGTCCGTTATATATAAAGATTACCTAATATCGAGAGAGAGAGAGAGAGAGAGAGAGAGAGAGAGAGAGATTACCTTAGGTTTTTAATCTTAGTCGATGCCATCTAGTATAACATAAATTCGATCGTTTTTTTAAAACTCCACAAGACAATCCCATTCTTTCATTCACTGCTTCATATTCTTTTAGGGTATCAGAATCTGTAACCAAAATTATACATTTATTACGAGATATATCAATGAATCATTACATTTCATTGTTATTTAGTAAATGGATTAGTTCCGGTTGACAGTGAAGAATATCGGTACTTCGATTTCATTTTGAGTGAGGAGAAGTCCAACGAATATTATTTTTTAGGTGGCCTTATTAAATATGCGAGGAAAGAGTAAGCGCGGCTGAGGGAGACAGATGATGTTTACTTGAAAGCATAGTTAGCATACTGAATAATTTATCTATTTATGAAAAAAAAAAAAAACTTTACACATTAATTATTTAAACACACACACACAACACACACGGTGATTATTCTGAGTACCTATTCCGGGCATATTGAATACATATTCACACGTTTGTTAGGTATCAATGAAACAAAAACAAAATTTCAATTTATCAAAACCAGTCCACAAGATAGAAAAATTCGACGTGATTCACCCGTTGGTTACCGACGATTGCTTTTCCTTTTCGTAGAATTTCCCACAACCGTCAACGGACGAGTTCATTGGTTACTGTTGAAAGGTGAAACAGGTTAATCTTTCGTCGGTAACACAGTGTATTGATCTGACTACTCTATTCCAGTTTACATATAACAACAATTTTGGTTATATTTTAATATTACAAAGTCGTAAATTCTTTCCCTGTCATAGAACTATTATTAATTATTATGCTTCCTGTCAGTTTGTCTCTATATAATCAATACCCAACTATTTTCGCATAGTGTTCTAAGGATTTATATAGCGTAAGCATACTATGCCGAAATAGTGCACGGCTGTCTTTTCTAGAGAAAATGTAATAAGCACCCACGCTGGGGATCGAACTCACGATCTGGAGAACGTCAGTCCAACGCGTTACCGATTACGCCACAAACACCGCTACTTTACGGAATGTATTTTCAAGTATATAAACGTAGTTTTTATACATTTGTCACAAAACAAGAAATAAATGAATATAATTTCTAAAAGACTAATATTATTGATAAGGATCTTAAAGAAAAATTCTCTAACAAATAATGGAATTTATCAGTAACCAAAATTGCAACGTAACATGAACTGGTTCTTCGGAGTCAATAAAACGCTTTTTGATATAACGCTTGATTAAAGAATGTTCAAGAAAATTTTCATTTAGATTTAACGTCTGCAAACAGGTTTGGGATTGAGAATTTAATTAAATTGTCGTATACAAACAACAGTCAGCATAATAATTATAATAGTGTTATTATTTGGATGTACTATGCCGAAATAGTAGTCAGGGTTTGACACATAGTGCACTCGCCTCCGGCTCGTGCACCATGTGTCAAACCCTGACTACTATTTCGGCATAGTACATCCAAATAATAACACTATTATATAATTACTCGGGCTGTATTCGATAAAACATAATTCATAAGTTTTACGGACTATCATCGCATGCCGATTTTTTGGTAAATTTCTATTTTAAAGGAAATAATAGAAAAGCGAAGATGATGAAAAAAAGAACAAATGACTGGAATTTGATGTACCAATTTTAATCGATTTGACGGATTTTTTTCGGGGGGGGGGGTCTCATTTCAGAAAGAAACTTAATACTGGTGTAATAGATCAAATTTTGCTATGCATGTCTTTAGGATATACATATTAAATGTAAGTGAATTGAATAATATAAATACATGTAGCATATAAAAATACGTTCATGGAAAAGCGATCTGCTTAAAACGGGCGGGTTCAACAGAAAATAATGCTTCCACGGATATTCCTGAAATATACTGAATAAAAATAACTTTTAAAAGACGTGTGTCCGTAAAAGAATAATTGATGAAATTTTAAGTTTTGTATGATGTTAAAAGGTTACTAAAAATTCTTAACTCTTTCTTATATTTATCAAGCAAGTGAAAATACTTATTAGCCTATTTCTTACTTTAGATTTTGAATATTAATGACACTTCTTTGTAACTACTTTCTACAGCTTGAGTATTTCTGACATTTTGTCAATTTAAAATTAGAAAAGCGGCATTTGTGAAAATAATTTTAAAACAGGGCAGTTAGCAGTGTCTTTTCTATCTACACAGTTGTTATTATCCCTTGAACCATTATTCATTACATGTGTGTACTCCGTGATGCGAACAGAACGATGGTTGCGGATTAAATTATATTAATGGGAAAAATCAGCCTTACTACTTCTTGTTATATGGACACTGATAAAAATAACCTCAAGGGTAAGGAATGGATTAACAATTGCTCATTCGACACATCTCGGCTGTTTCATGTCAGTAACGCCGGGAATTATCCGAAGTTATCGAATGCGCAATCAAAAATTCTCGTCACACATTCAGTCTAGATATCTTCATAATGTGGAAGCTCAGAGATTTAAATAAAACGGCATACTATAGGATTTTAAAAATTCAATTCAGTTGATAATTAATCAATTAAAACTTACAGGAAAATAAATTTTCGATTAAAAAAATTCATTAAGTACATACAATGTTGGTATAATTTAAAAGAAATGCCGGTCCTGTTAGTCTTAACGTTACGATTTTCCAGTATTAAAGGACCAAAAATATGTATATATATTCACCCTTTTACAGGTTTTTTTTATCATTATTTCTCATTTGTTTAATACATGTATGCTGAACATTTAACTTTTTAACATTCAATCATTCTTTAAAACTTAAATACTTTGTACAAATGGCACATGTTTTTTAAGTCAAAATCATATATCTTACCTAGTCCTGAATTGACAGTTTCACTTGAATGCAAAAGATCTTCATCTTCAATACATGTTTTTCTCGATCTGCAACAAAATGTTTGAATGAGTATTTAACTTCCGCTCCTTTATTTCTGCGCATGTCAAACAGTTATTCTTAATTTGATTGGTGATTTTTGGGGATATAGCCAATCGAATTCGAATACGCTATTGAGGGCAAATATTTCGATTTCCAGTGATATGTTTCAGCCATTCTACAATTATGCCGACGGATTTTTTGTTAATTTTTTTTTATTATAAAGAAGATCCCACAAATTGCGACGCAAAGTAGACTCCCTCTTTGTAGGAAGCAGTGATACTGATGACAAGGACATAGAAGTTACTGTTGACGATCAAAGTAAGTGAATCTAATCTATTTACATACAATAATTACATATTACCTAATGTGAAGATGGTTGTACTATAAACGGCCAGTAGATGGTATTTTAATGTTTGCGAGTGTGGGTGTGTGGGTGTGAGGGTGTCTGTGTGTGTGAGAGAGAGGGTGTGGGATTGTGTGGGAGGTTGATTAGGTGTGTGTGTGTGTGTGTCAACTTGAAATTCTGCAGTTTTCTTTTTTCATTAAAGCTTAAAAGAATTGCACACAAAAAAATACCAGTAAAGTTATTCCTTTTCTATCACCTTAACATATAAGTCCATTTTAATTCGAAGTGCACAGTTCAAGTTTCCTATGAAATTATATACATGTATTGGCACTAAGCACCACAGACTTTTTATGAGCCTCGACACCTTTTTTGCCTACTGAGTTGAACATGATTTCAAATTTATTACTTGACCCCACCCCACCCCAACCACCGCCGAAAAATCAAGAATCTAATTACCACGTAACATGACGACTTTATTATTTTTCAAACGTCTAAACTTACTTCTCCCTTTTCAGAAAACCTCCCCATCTTACTCTAAATGTGCAGATACATGTAAAACACTAATCACCAGAATTTTCCCCTAGTTTTACGTCGAAACAAGGCTGAAGCAAAATACCTTACGAATTCCCCTTTGAATCAATGGCGTGTCAGCCCGAAACAGGGACAGAAGTGTTTGTCAGCTGTTCCTGGGGTGATTGCAATGCATTGATTTTTCCAACAGATTTTCAAATTTCTTGTGTAAAAAAAATGGTAGTTCATGATAAGGATTGAAGTGATATATCGCGATATGAAATTTTTTGCTATACCCATTCCTATTTTTTATTCATGAAAAGCATGCTCATTGTTAACTAAAACAAGTCATTATATGTACTGGTAGATATTATTGCCAGGCGCGGATCCAGGAATTTTTTCCGGGGGGTGGACCCCCCGTCCACCCCATTCAAAAAAACCCTTTTCCATCCAAGAAATATATTTAAAAAAAAACAAACAAACAGACAGACAAAAAAAAAAAGAAAAAGAAAAAACTCAACTCTTTTCCCAAACGTGAAAAACCTATTTCGTGAAGGGGGGGGGGGGGTTCGTTGACATTTAAAGCTTCATACCTATGACTTTTCATACCCATTTCACATAGATAGCTTTGACTTTTCATACCAATTTCACATAGATCCGCGTTTTCGAGGAGGGATCGTGTTTTTTTTTTTTTGGGGGGGGGGGTCCAAGGTCAATTTTACTTGGTATAGTATATATATTTAATAACTCTGCAAATTCCAGGCCCCCCCCCCCTTCTAGATCCGTGCATGATTGCGCAGTGTGATTAGGTCAAGTAATGACCTGTGGCCTGTGAAAATGAACATTTTGCTATCTGCATGTATATATCATAGAGATATACTACAAATCTATATATAAAGTAATGTTTTTAAAAAAATGTAAACAGGAGTACTTCTTCCACGACGTTTGTTTTAAATTATCTATTTAAAATGATAAATTAACATCTAAAGCTCTACAATTTTGCTAAGACGATGTCCTAAATTTTGATAATGTGGTACAACCTGAAGCCTCAAAATTATTTAAGCTTGATCCCTCATGAACTAAAGAGATTTTAATGAATCGATGAACTATCTAATTTACTTTTACATTAAAAAAAAAATAGAAATTAAAAGATATCTTACCTTAATGTATAGAGAACGTTCGGAGATTTCAACAGAACACAGGATAATAGAATTTCTGAAAGAGTGTAAGTTTTCGCGGGAAATGTTACCATGTTAATCTTATTTTGCATACGATGGGCTGGCTGAAGCCTGTCATTAATTTCTACCAATGGCAGCACTACAATCATTTCGACGGTCGCCTTTAACTTGTTTAGACAGATGTCCGAAACACTCATCACAGACATCAAAGGGTCAGATTTTCCTAACATTGAATAGCCTGGTACTCCGCTAATAATTGTTACTTTTTCCTCGCATAATTGACATCGCATAAAATGCTAGAATCTGAAAGACGTACTTAAAATATTTTAATAAAAATATATTTGGGTTTAAATAAACGATTTCTCAAGGAATAGGAAATCTTGTTACTCTAAAACTTTATCATTTACCATCAATGTATAAATATAAGATCAGATTTATCTAAAATAAGTCCTTTAGATAAATGCAGTCTTCCTGTGGGTTAATTAACGAAAACACTGAGATTTATTTTCTGCATTTTAAAATGTACAATGAGTTAAGATCCGCTTTATTTCACACCATAAGAAATACAGGTAACTCTCGAAACCTCGAAGTCCGCGGGACCGAGGAAAAACTTCGAGAGATCAAGAGTTCGAGTTTTCAAGAGTCCGGAATTTTCCGGGTTTGTTGCAGGTTTTAAAATTAGTCTTACCGGATGTAATGATTTTCATGCAGTGCAAACCTTTTACACGTGGTTTTTATAAAACAACGATATTTTTTCGTATTTCAGATGAATATTTCATTAAACTGAGTAAAGCAAAAAATGTATATCGTCATATCATGTATATTTATTTATTCTTTGTAATACGGACATCATACTACGCATTCGTTACATGAAAACCACATTTTACAGCGTCGTACATAGCATTGACTATTCCAAACATGATCATTGAACGCAGTTCTGTAAGTATTTGTCCAATACTAGTCGTCATATTGACATTGAGGCTGTTTCTGCTTTTTTTCATATTTCGTTTAACTTTGACACTGACTCGAAATAAAAATCAAATTAGTGTTTTGTCTTTTAATAAATTACCACTTTTCAAAGACACTGCGTTTCTAAATTATCGTAAGACAGTCGGAGATAATTATTTTAAAAGCATATAGGCAAAATATGATTCATTATAAATCAATTATCACCTTGCAGCATAAGTGTCACCTGAATAAACATCCTTTTCCTCGAGACCCGCGTCTTCTGCCTGGGGCCATTTAAATGTCCAGGTAAAGGTGCTAATTATATAACCTTGTATACACATAGCCACTTCGAGGTATCGAGGGAAAATTCTAATAGAATATGCATAGCGGGACTGCATTTTGACTTCGAGGGATCAAGGGTTTCGAGAGATCAAGAGTTCGAGAAATCAAGAGTAAATTTGCTTAGTTATATAGTGGAAAAATTCGGGACCGGAGACTCACTTCGAGCGATCAAGAACTTCGAGCGATCGAAGTTCGAGCCATCAAGAGTTACCTGTACATGTAATAAATGAATATTAGCCCTTGATATTATCCTCCATGAGGACCCATTTGTGGGCCGCCTAAATAACAAACATTTTAAAGCTTTGCACAAGTAAATCTAAAATAAAATGAAAAGATTTTGATGATTTTGATGATCATTTCTCTTTCTTCTACAACCCTCTTCCCTCTGCAATATTTTTCTGTTCTTATAAACCATTTCATACCCCGCACTCTAAAGATATTTATTTACATTTTTTGTGTAACGCGCATTTTTGTTTATATTCTTTATATATAGGAGAGGACAATCTAACTTATAAAAATCTCAACTAATTACTGATAAAATATGTTGAAACTTTTTTTTACATGTAAAAGGGATAGGTTAAAATATATAACGTGTAAAGTTTTGATAACTGTAAAATATATACATGTTACTGTTTGATGTGAGGAATTTCTACAGAATTAATGAATGTATTATTTTAATGATTTATTCATTATTAAACACGAGTTTAAACAAGATCCTTTATACTTACGTCTTCTAACAAAGCATGTACATGCATTTTGCGACACCCGAGAATACAGTAGCGTGAAAGATCTAATTTTTGTGACGTTCGTTACATACAACTTAAAGTTTCTTTATTAATGTTACATGCCACGTCAAAGCAACTGAGAATTTAATGATCATGCAATTTCAGCACTTTCAAAGTTCCATACTCATTGATAAATTCTCTCAAATTACCTAAGTGAATGAAAATAATGGATCATCTATTCGTTTTATAGCTCTACTGATAGTATCAAATACACGGTGTTTTCCCGAGTGGGAGCAAGTTGAAAGGGTTCATTTTCTACGGCTGATAAATATTCACTGTACCAACTTTCTAATTTCCTTGCTGTTGCTATGGGATGGGTAATAGTGAAGTATCTTTGGATCGAAGACTTTTCTTAACATATATTTCTTTATTTACCCGGCATAAAAAGTCATGAAATGACATGACACCCACATAAAATAAGCATGTTTTAATTTGACCAAACAAAAAATACTAGTATCTGTACATTTGTTGTGAAAATATATATAATTATATATATTTAAAAAAAATGTGAATTGATTGATATAACGATTCAAAAGTTCAACATATGCACCATATTTTATTTTGTACCGGCGAAATCTGAAGAGTTCCTTTCAAAGATCACATATGCATTATATAATTCCAATTAAAAAAATTACATTCTCAAAGTGTCTAGATTTTTCCGTTTCCATGATATGCGCATTTTTCAAATTTGTATGTTTGGAAAAAAAAGTGGGGGAGAGGGGAATATTTGTTGGATAATTTAATACATAGGAATCAGTTTAAAAGAAAAAAAAACGTTAGTTCATACACAATAACATTTAATTTATACAATGCTACGATGCCGTTGATATATTGATAATCTTTTAAAATATGAACAATGAAGTCAAACAAGGAGAAAATCTTGTGTTAAAAGTAGAATTAAACAGTCTATTCTAATG